CTTAGGTACTTTTTTATGTCCGTTCGAGGACGAACGGTTGTTTTAAAGGTGGAGAATGTGATGACCCAAGAGGTCATCTTATGTTTTAGAACTTGATTCCGTGATCCAAGGCCTTCAAAACCTCATTTTATTCCTCCTCGATTTGCGTGCACAGTCCGAGCGTGTTTCCGAAAAGCTTTTATGTTGAAAGTTGATAAAAATAATAATTTTTTCCTTTAAAAGTTGATTTAGTTGACTTCGGTCAACGTTTTGAGTAAATGGATCCGGACCCATATTTTGAAAGTCCCGGTGGGTCCGTATCGAAATATGGGATCTGGGCGTATGCCCGGAATCGAATTCCGAGGTCCCTAGCTCGAGAAATGAATTTTCGATAAAAATTGAAAGACTGAAAATTAAATGGTTTTAAGAATTTGGTTAATGTTTGATCTTGTTGGTATCGGGCCCGTACTTTTATTCCGGAGCCCGGTACAGGTCCAAAATACTATTTATACCATATCTATGAAATTTGGTGAGAAATGGAATTGATTTGACGTGATTCGGACGTTCGGTGGTGAAAATAGGTATTTCAAAGTGTTCTTAAGAATTTCATGTGATTTGGTGCTAAATTTGTAGCTCTAGGTGTTATTTTGGCGATTTGATCGCACGAGCAAGTTCGTATGATGTTTTAAGACATGTGTGCATGATTGGTTTGGAGCCCCGAGGGCTCAGGTGAGTTTCGGATAGGCTACGAGTGATTTGAACTTAGGAAATTTATTGGTATGCTTCAGGTCTGCAGACTTCGCATTTGCAAAGTCTGGCTCGCAAATGCGAGCCTCGCATTTGCGAGCAATGGGGCTGGGAAGGGACCATCGCAATTGCGAAGCTCAGGATCGCAATTGCGATCAGCACTGGCCGCATTTGCGAACAATTATTCGCATTTTCGATGTTAGTAGGCCCAGGTCAGTCTTCGCATTTGCGAAGTGAAGTTCGCATTTGCGAACTCCTGATCACAAATGCAATACCTGCAACTGGTCAAAAATGATTTTGGACAAGATATTTGATTCATGCTTCAATTTTTCAAAACCTAAAACACAAGAGGCGATTTTCCATAGACTTTTTCTTCCCCAAATCATAAGTAAGTGATTCTTAACTAGTTTCTTTCAATCTTTTACCTCTTTTTACAAGATTTAAACCTAGAATCAAAGATTTTCATAGTGAAATTGGGGATTTTTGGGTAGAAACTAAGGATTTCGAAATTTAGGGATTTAGACATCAAATTGAGGTCGGATTCCAAAACCAATTGTATATCCGGGCTCGGGGTGAATGGGTAATCGGGTTTATGTACGAATTTCGAGTTTGGACCAAGCGGGCCCGGGTGTTGACTTTTTCAAAAAATGACCAATAAATTGAATTCCTTGCTATCGTGGGTAGTTCCTAAGGCTTAAATTGAATTGTTTGGTTGGTGAATTGATAGATTCTATTGGTCTGGAGGCTTGTGTGAAGGGAAAAGTGGTGGTTGAGCTTTGAGTTTGGCCTTGGAGCGAGGTAAGTGTTGTGTCTAACTTTGACTGGAGGGATCAGGGATCCCCGACTTAATTGCTATGTGAAAATCCATGTGTGTGGCGTATAAGTGAGGTGACGAGTACCTATGCGCCGCCAATTTATCTGTTTTGCCTATTTTCTTCCCGTTCTTAATATATTGTTTCCTGCCTTAACTGCTACATGCTTCACTGGTATTTCCATGCTAAATTGCTACTTGTGAGACATTATTTTTCATTGTTAAAGGTATTAGCTATCCCGTAGTTTCATTGTCTCATATTATTGGCTTAAGTTGGTTTATCGATGTTTTATGGTATATTTTGGATTGGTTTCGCTGAGTATTATTATTTGAGTGAAGTTTCATAATTGTACAGCTTTCCGTTTGCTTTGGTTCAGGTTTAAATATTGCGGAGAGTTTTGAGCTAAATTGTGAAATTCTTGTTCTCATTGTGTGACTAGTACTGATATGGTGGGATCGAATTGCATGCCGCAACAAGAGTAATATATTGAGGAGGAATAAGGGTGAAGTGCTATTATATGGTGGGATCGGGTTGCGCGCCGCAACATGAGGAATAAGGGTGATATATTGAGCGGGAATAAGGGAGAATTGCTATTGTACGGTGGGATCGGGTTGTACGCCGCAACATGAGGAATAAGGGTGGATTGATATGGAGTAATAAGGGTAAACGTTCATATCGGTATTGATTATATGGTGGGATCGGGATGCGCGCCGCATAAGTTTATGTGTTTATGTATCTTTCTTCTACTGTGCAAGTTATTTTGTAGTTTTGCGTTTCACATAAGTATTGGTCATAGCTAGGTACTGATGAGATACTTGAGTTCTGCATTCCTTCCTTGCAAGTTTCTATTTCATTTTGTTCTGTTCTTCTTTCTGCTTTATTATGCACTATATGCAGGTTCTATTGTAAATGCGCCGTCGTAGCCTCGTCACTTCTCGTCGAGGTTAGGCTCGGCACTTACAAGTACATGGAGTCGGTTGTACTGATACTGCATTCTGCACTTTCTGTGCAGATTTTGGAGCAGGTTGTGGCTGATCGAGAGTTCGGTTGCAGATACTTCCAACTAGGAGACCCAAGGTAGTCCTGCTGGCTTCCGCAGGCCTGGCGTCCCCTTCTACCTCTCTACATTATTGTTTTCTTTATTTTCAAAACAGTTGTAATTTCTTTCAGACTGATGCTTGTAAATAATTATAGTATGTTCGTGGATTGTGACACCGGATTCTAGGTAGTAGTAGTAATAGTTCTTGCAATAGTTTATAAACAAAGAAGATGTTTACTTACTTCCGCAATTATGTTCACTTGTTTTAACTTGTTTACTTTTATTCATTGAATCGTAAAGGAAATTGGTTAGTAATACTCTAACATTGGCTTGTCTAGCAAGTGTGATGTTAGATGACATCACGGTTCCGGTGGTGAAAATTCCGGATTGTGACAATTACGTTTATAACAGCCATATAAGACATAAATCTCAAATGTCGTTATCAACAAAAGATTATAACAAACTAGACTGATGGAGTTTTGACTGTAGTAAAATTTAGCAATGAAGCAAAAAGGTCGAATAATGCATTCGAAGAGTTGTTAGTTTAATTTGTGTCTTTTAAGTTTTATGCTTTCGAAGAGGTCAGTTGAAGATAACTTTTATTGTGTACGGTTATTATCAAAATCAAATCAAACCAAACCAATTATATCGATTTGGCTTGGTTTGATTTTGTCGGATTTTTCGAGTTTTTTTGTTATATAAATATTATTTCAATCTTACTTTGTTAAATTTTGAATAAGTAAATATTTGTTTAGTAAAAGTTAAAAAAATTGACAAATATATGATCTATTAAAATATTTTATGGAAGAATTTTCTTAGTAACACATGATAGTTATTTTTAGTCGTCTGACAATAATATTATGTTGACGTACATTTTCAAGGTTAGCCGAATTTAATAATTAGACATAAAAATAAATACGAACCTATATAATGATATGTTCTATTTAATTTTAAATTATCGAAATACCATTTCAAATTCGAAAAAGATATAATAATTTGATAGATCTTGACATACGAATATGAAAGAACAAAGAAATTGACGCATTTCACTAACACTTGGTAAAAAAAAGCATACAACCCATTATATAAAGTTAATAAATATGGAGCACTTTATATTTAACTACAAATTACATGTCATAAGAGAATCGCAAATATTTCTTGACATTTATATATTTATATATCGATTTGGTGCTGATTTTTTTACTTAATACCAAAACAAATCAAAGCAATCCTTATCGGGTTTTTTATCGATTTGATTTGATTTTTCGATTCGGTACAATTTTCCGGTTCGGTACGTACATATATCTTCTAATGACTGTAAGATAACTTTTGTTCTGAACTTGGATATATCCCTTTGATAACTCTTGTTTAACCTTCTCTACTATATCAATTCCTCGGATTGATTATAGACAAAAAAAATCATCGTTTGAATGAATGAATTAACTCGAATCCTGCTATTTTATTTTGCGCATAAAAAAAGGGTCACATCAACGTTAATCAAGTTGATCGTCCATAGAAGAGTCAAAAAAAGTTAAACCTATTTATCAAATATGAAAAAAATTAATGAATTGACTCGATAAAAATTGCTATTTTCTAAGTGATTATCTGAAAACCACTTTGATTAAAATGCTTGTCAACATAAGTAATATTTTGGCCAAAAAAGCTTTGTCACCCTTGAAACCACTATTCTGAAAGTTCTCTTCAAACCAACTTTGATTCGTAAAACAAATACTGACAAAAATTTATTATTAAGATCTCTTAACGGCAGCTTACCTAACTCTGTACAAAATTTATACTAATAACTACCAACCATCCAACACGATAATAGACGCCAACAATCAAATAACAATAGAGCCTACACACAGCCACAGAGCCTACACACAGAACAACAGACGCCAATAATCAAATAACAATAAAGCTTCATAAAGCGCAGACCGATTTCCGGCAGCCAACATAAAAGACAGCTACAAGCACCTATCTCTAACTATTATTATTATTATTATTACTATTATTGTTATTATTATTATTATAGCAGAGACATAGCACTGCTCCTACACCCTTTTCAGATGTTTGATCTTCACCCAATGCTATCATTACAAGAAGCAAAACAGGCTGAAGATAGCTTTTTAGTTATCAAAGGATATCACTTAACAGGTCATTTGCAAAGAAGCACAATGAAGGGAAGAAAGAACGTCCCACACAAAACCAATACCAGCTCCCTAGAAATTCAGTCATATTTCACATTAGCTCCATATTAGTTAAACCAAGAGTATTTCATACAACACCCTAAATAGCATATGACCAAATTAGGATAAGAGAAACAAGGAAGAGTTCAACACGCCCAAAAATAAAGGTGTAAACATATGTTTGTGAGGATTCTCTCTCTAGACAACTATGTTAGAGCTGCATTTAGGAGATAAAAGTAGATATATAAGTCTAACTTGGGAGATTCATCATTTTCAGTAGCAGAATACATAAGTTTCCAAGTCACTCAATGCTAAAAGAACAGAATTGCAAAGGTTATTCAACTATCACTGCATTAGAGATTAAACACAATTCAACAATTCCAATATTCAACCAAAAACAACCCAAAATAAACCCCACTTCCCCTTAAGTTTAACCTCAAGGTTTGAATGAACTCAAATATATAGATGATCTCAGTCATGAAGCGTCCCCAAAATGTCCTCATCCCGGTACAAATGAAACCTGCCAGAAAGACATCAAGAATGATAAGAAAATCAATGAAGTTCAAAACTTAACAGCAATACAAGGTCAAGTAATAAAATGCACTCACTCTTTCTCCCCCAACTTGACTTGTGTACCACCATACTCAGGCAACAAGACAGTGTCACCTTCCTTGACAGCAGTGGGAATCAAGTTTCCTGACTTGTCACGCAGCCCTGGCCCGACAGCCACCACTTTACCGGAATTCAGCTGAAATTCACAAACATCAACAGATCCCAACTTTAGGTGAAACTCAAAACATTAGAACACTAGCAACAAATCAATCAACTAATTCTCAATCAAAGACAAGTTAAACTCAGCTATGTATCTCCTGTATTTGTTCGCCCACTGTTATTAAAATGCAAAACGAGGGATTATACCTGTGAAGCATGTGCTTCAACTAATGAGGCGCAAAGTGATCCTGACGAGATGCAGTTAGTTCTCAGAATCACAACTTTGAGGAGTTGAATTAATATAGGTATTATCATACATTGGATATTGAAATTCAGTTTTTCTAATCGCAATTTGATCTATCATAATAATATATCACATCTTCAAGGAGTTGAATTAACATAGGCATTACTGTATATTGGATACTGAAGGAATCCGTTATAATACTGGAGTTACATATGTTTAGTATCTCTTAATGTCATAAATCTTGCGGGCTACACTTCTCACTTCTCACTTTTCGCTTCAAGCCCCGGATCTTTGAACCCACGGGTGCCATCAATTTGGATCCATTTCAGTCAACTGCCTCGAGACACTTTACAGGTTCTCCAAATTTAACACTTAAATAACTCACAATACCCCCAGAATATCCCCGATCCCAAATCAAATTAGTTGAGGTCTTGGCTATGCTATGTGAACCCTAATTTTACTTTTTGCCCTATTCGAACCCATTTCGTTCGAATACTTAACAAATCAGAATTTTTCAAAACTAAATGTTCTCTAATCTTAAACTAATTCTAACTATAGAACCGATAGCCAAATTATGTCCCCAAATATGGAAAACGGAAGCAATAATAAAACTATGATGAATATTCAGTAGTATAATACAACACATAGCAAATTAATCATTCGATTACTCAACAAATTAGAAGTTACTCAAACTATATGTTTTCTGAAAAAGTGACCGACCTTAGAGGATTTCTCAGGGAGAAGAATACCGGCATTAGTTTTAGCAGGGGCGGTGATTTTCTCGATCAAAACCCTGTTGAGTGTTGGGAGCAAACGCTTCGCCATTTCTGCTTTTGTATTTTTGTGTGGTAGTGAAAGAGCAGAGACCAAAGGTTTATATGCGAAAAGGGTTCACGAATTGAGTAGAAGGTTCTAGTCTCCTCCTTGGGGTTTAGGGTTTTAACAAGGCATTTCCAAATGGACTGGGTTTCCCAGAACCGTATTTCTGATATTGGGCCTTTCCTGGCCCAGTTTCTATATTTAGTTGGGAACTTTACACCCCATAACTAACTTAAACACTATATTTATCATAAACAAATACACTTTAAAATAATTATAATACATACTACTTTTTGAGTTTTATAGCAAATACCTCCTTTCAAATCCTATCTCAACTACACACAAGCGCCTCTTTTTTCATTGCTTCCCAAAAGATTCAATCTCGTCTGTCGCTGTTGATCAGTCACCGTTGATCCGTCATTGCGGTTCCATCGCTACTGCTCCGCCGGCAAAACTTTGTCCTCTCCGACGAACGGCCATCGCTGGCTAATGTTTGGCTACGGTGAAGGATCTATCACATCTGGTCGGATTTTCGTTTGTCTCTGGTGACGAAAAGCCTCGAAGCCTCATTCTCATATTTGACTGGATTTTGATAGATATAATGTGATAGTGTATTCTTAGATCTGGCCGGATTTTTGTTCATTACCATTTTTAGTTTTAATATAATGTATATAGTGTTTTGCTTGGCCAGAAGACTCCATATCCGGCGAACTTTCTTCTCTTCTGTGCTAATGAGTCGCATATAATGATACAAAATATATTGTATCCTGTAAAAACACACTCAAATTTGAATGTATTCTGTATGTTTCAATGCAAATACAGTTCTATTTTTTGTATTTTCGCCTGTATTAATGTATTAAGAAGGTGATTTTTTTTAGGCAGATCCCTGTATTTTTGAATTTTTGTTGTTTAAATACAAGCGAATTAAATACAGTAAATTGAATATAGTGTAAAAGTAGCTACGAATGAATATAGTGAATTGAATATAGTCGAACATCATTGTAATTTTGATTTTTTGTTGTTTAAAAACAGCCGAATTGAATATAGTAAAATTGAATGCAGTGAAATTGAATACAATGTAAAATAGTTAAGAATAAATATAGCCGAATTGAATGTAGTGTATACGGCAAAATTGAATACGATGGCATACACCTTCTTTCTTGATTTTTTGTTGTTTGAATACAACTGAATTCAATACAATGAAATTGAATACTATGTAAAATATATAAGAACGAATATGTCCTAATTGAATACAAAATATACAGCCGAATTGAATATAGCGACATACATCCTATGACAAACAATTAGTACCTATAAAATGTAATTAGCTAAATTATAGTTACGCTATTACAATAAGCCTCCAAGCAATAATTATTTTTGAAAACTCCCCTATTTAGTTCAGTGTATTACTGTATGATATTGATATTGAGTTTTGTTGTGCGATATGAGATGGATAAAACGTAAGGAAAAATTATATTGTATACCCATTCTAAAAGATAATAGTCGGTAAAATATTTTTTTAATATTAATATATAATATACATTTTTTGTCCATAACCAATGTATATTTTTTTGTATATTTGGCTAGAGGATATAATTACATTTGACGGACCGGGAATAGTAACTTGCTCAAAATTTAATGGGAAAATATCATAACTGAGAACCTGCATTATATTATTTAAAATTAACCATTTTGGGGAGGATAAAATTAATGGGAAAATGTCCAAATTGTTGTAAAAAATTGGTGATTATGGAAAATAAAAGGTTTAGCTTGAGGCGTGTCAAAGACACTGTCCTTAAGGATATTTTGCCCACACCGTGATGAATAAAATTAGGCGTATCCCCAGGATTCAATAAGCTCTTCTAGTATAACTAGGAGCAAAAACAACAAAGATTAACGAGAATAAAACCCAGCACAAAAGAAAAGGAAAGAAAAGTGTTTAACTTTATTTTTTCACTACATTTTTGTTATGAAGACGAAGAAGTATATATATACTAAACAGAAGTAGACTCTCTGTTCCATATTAGAGGCTATTCAAGGAAAATAAACCACCAAAAACATTCAACCATAAAGATTATACGTTAAGTCTTAAAGCCATTAAGATTAGTCATTTATTCTCCAATACTAACGTTATTTACTTTTCAATAACGTAAAAATCCATGAGAATTCAATTGTCTAATTTATTTTGTCCCAAATTGAATTCAAAATTAATTAATTTTCTGTTACAAATATTTTTAAAATAATTACTATAATATGACTTATTAATATAATAGTAAGAAAATGAATCTAGACATAATTTTAGAATATTTCTTTTTGAGATACCAAAAGTATTTTTCTATCAATCCCCCACATATCTCAAAAAGAATATAAAAAATAATAAAGTAATAAAATAATTTGCTGGGTTTCACAAAATGAGCATAATGCGTCGAATCTGGTGTCTCTTGGACTATAAACCAGACCTAGATAAAATAAGATTAAACTTACAGAACAATTGGTGAAGTTTAAAACTTCTATGAACCAAGAATTCTTTTGTAAGTTTAGTGTCTTATCTATCACATTATACTCGCACACACTTTGTTGTGTATCACGGTTTTGCGCTAATAGGCCATGTGCGCGCCTGGTTTTCATGAGTGCTCTAGAAATTTCGCCACAAATTTCATAGGAGCGGCCCCACTCCACACTCATATAGGTCCATCCATCAAGTGTATTCTGCAGCACAATACCTCACCTATCAAAGGCTATGGATTATTAGATTAAGAGTTTAATAACTCAACCTCCCATTCCTTGCAGTTTTGCACTATATATACACACATCATAGGAAGGGATATAATTTAATAGTGCACATTTGATCAACTATTGACTTGTTATTACCCATATGAACCTACATCATGGGATCTCCAATCACATAGGTTGGGTTACCATCATAGTTGATAAAACTCAAATTGGCAAAAGTCTCATTCCCCTCGATGTTTCAGATATTAATTTTCTTCCCAGAGGTTTAGTCAGAGGATCGGCCAAATTCACTTCTGACTTCACATAATCTATGGAAATAATTCCATCTCTCAGCAGCTGCTTTATCACATTATGTCTCAATCGGATATGTCTACTCTTCCCATTAAAGGATTTATTTTTGGCAATGGCTATTGCAGCTTGGCAATCACAATGCATCAACACAGAAGGTGTCGGTTTAATTCCTAGTGGAATACTCGCCAAAAGGTTCTTTAACCACTCGCCCTCATTGCCAGCCAATTCCAATGCCACAAACTCAGATTCCATGGTAGATCTAGCTATTATTGTTTGTTTAGCTGATTTCCATGTCACAGCACCCCCACCGAGGGTGAACACATAACCACTAATGGATTTTGTCTCATCTGAATCAGAGATCGAGTTAGCATCACTGTATCCTTCTAGTACAGTGGGAAATCCACTATATTTAATACCATAGTTCATGGTACCTCTCAAATATTTCATTACTCTTACTAATGCGTTCCAATGATCATGACTCGGGTTTTGAGTATATCTACTCAATCTACACACAGCATATGCAATATCACGTCTAGTAAAATTCATCAAATGCATTAGACTACCAACAACTTGAGCATATTTATTTTGATCTATAGCATCTCCCTTATTATTTTTTAATTGACTACTAGCATCATAAGGAGTGCTTACAGGTACCACATCAAAATTATCAAATTTTTTAAAAATTCTTTCAACATAATGTTTGAGTCAGCATCAAACTATTGCCATCTCTTATAATTTTCATGCCTAAAATAACACTAGCTTCTCCCATGTCTTTCATCTCAAAATTAGAAGACAAGAAAATTTTGGTTTTATGTACCAAATCAAGGCTAGAACTAAAAATAAGCAATTCATCCACATAAAGGCAAATAATAACACATGTACGATCTACACATTTTGTATAAACACATTTATCTACTTCAATTGATGAAAACCCATCATTAATCAATACTTGATCAAATTTTTTATGCCACTGTTTAGGTGCTTGCTTTAGACCATATAAAGATTTTAGCAATTTACATACTTTATTTTCTTGGCCAGACACTATACAACCCTCAGGTTGCTCCATGTAAATTTCCTCTTCCAAATCACCATTTAAAAATGCAGTTTTAACATCCATTTGGTGAATAAAAAGTTTATAAATAGAAGCCAAGGCAAGTAAAACACGAATTGAGGAAATTCTAGTTACAGGAGCATAAGTATCAAAATAATCAACATTTTGCTTTTGGGTAAAACCTTTTGCAACAAGTCTAGATTTGTAGTTATCAATGGAACCATCCGGATTGAGTTTCTTCTTAAAAATCCATTTACAACCAATGGGTTTAGCTCCCGGAGGTAAATCAACTAAAATCCAAGTTTTACTTTGTAAAATTGAATTTAATTCTACATCAATAGCTTCTTTCCAAAATGAGGCATCAGACGAAGAAATAGCTTCAGAATATGTTAAAGGATCATTATCCACAAGATAAATATAAAAATCATTACCAAAAGATTTTTCTTTCTTTGGCCTTTTGCTTCTTCTTAAATCCTCACTTTCAAAATTATTTTGAACAATTGGAACATGTGAAATATTATCACTTGGAATAATAGGAGCATCAGAAATTTTCTCAAATTTCAAAGAAAAAATATTTTCAAAAAATTCAGCATTTTTTGTTTCAATAATTGTATTGTTTTCAAGTACATCACTTTTGACTACTAAAAATCTGTATGCTGCACTGTTTTCAGCATACCCAATAAATATACAATCAGATGTTTTAGATCCTATTTTCCTTTTCTTAGGATCAGGCAACATAACTTTAGCAAGGCACCCCCACACTTTCAAATATTTCAAATTAGGTGGATACCCTTTCCACAACGCATAAGGAGTTTTACCCGTTTTCTTATAAGGAATTCTATTTTGTAAATGACAAGCAGATAAAATGGCTTCACCCCAAAGATTATCCGGAGCACCAGAACTAACAAGCATGCTATTCATCATTTCCTTTAAGGTCCTATTTTTTCTTTCCGCTACCATTAGATTGTGGAGAATAGGGCGGAGTTATCTCGTGAATTATGCCTTCTTTCTCAGAATAATCATTCAAA